GATATAACAAATGAGTGGCGACTGAAGTGCAGGTGAAATACCGCCCCAACGATCGCAACCTGTTTTTTATGCCATGACTTCATAGACATCATAGAAACAGACAAAACCTGCAATTCATGTCTATTCTAGCATTCATTTCAAAGTAAACACACACTGAGTCTCCATTAAAACTATGGCTTCAATCATATAAAATCACATATATTTTCATATTCAATACATTCAATGCATTTCGACTCATGGATGCGATTCTGATCGCCTGAACATTATTACCTGACATTCAGTACATATTTGAGTGAAACTTTAGTTTGGGTTTGATATGACTGTAATCGGTTACTACACGTTCAGTGCATTCAATCATATTTGCTGCTAATATCAGTCACAGTCAACTATAACTGTATCCATTTGCCACACCCTTTAAACCCCGACTATATATCCATATATTATACGTGAATATCACTTAATATTCACAATAAATATTATACAAAACTAACCCAAACTATGGAGCTCTATATGGTTTGCGTTTTGATCGCTATGTGAGTCCAAAAAGCTATGCTATTTAAGTTACCACTCATTCAATGCTATCATAGTATAAGCCATAAGTATCATGGTACTTATGGCTTCAATTATGATATGTAGCACTGATCCCACTTTGCACCCAAACTTTTTCCACTACTGTTTGCGATAATCAATGAATCAATCTATAAGTATGTCTTATGTGTTACAGAGCGATGTCAATGATTATCATAAAAGGCATTCAGTGTGTAATGTCTGTCACTCATCCACTGCCCGATAAAGAGCTCCAATGGAGACGATCTCCTCATTTGCCATCACAAGAGTTACGTACCGTTAAGTCCAAGAGTAAGAAGTCTAAGAACCAGTGGAAGAAGAGACAGGAGAAGATGCCTTTGGCTCACGCGGAGGTCGGTTCCCACCCACCACTCCCTCTGAGCACCCTTTCCCTCAAATCATAACAACATTGAATGAGATGTTTAAATATTAAAACAAATGATGAGTTTATTGTATAATATAGTATAGTATTGTATAATATTAGTGTAGAGTAGGGCTGACATGAAGTAATGAGTGTTAATGAGGACTCGATTCGTATGACTTTCTACTCGTAGATAATTTCAGTTCATAGGGTGTCTGTGTTTACAGACTATATACTAGAGTTGTAATTGAGATAAATATAAAAAAGATTTCCACTCAAAGCTCAACAGATTTTAAACTCATTTAATAGAAGTGCTATAAATATCGTGCGATTAATGAATGGAAAGACTGAATGAGTGAATATATTATTTATTGAACAACAGATACCACTCGAAAGTGTTTTCATTGAAGAGGAGTCGACTGGGATTACGATTGAAAGGCATTCCGATAGAGGAGAGAGAGTGGAGAGGATGGAGAGGGGAGAACGGGTCGAGAGAGGGGACAGTCGAGCGACGATGGTTTGAATGCTGAAAATGGTGTCAATGATTGCAACACAACATAGAAAGCGATAATTCATACGAGAGACACGATTCCCAGCAAAGAGCAAAGAAATGACTTGTTTTGGATTTTAACTAAATATTCATCTCTAAAACAGAGGACTGTTCGCAAACACAACACAACTTATAGTTCAATAGCAGACTAGCGTTGAATATCATCTCAATATATTCAGTGTTTGCTTTGAAAATTGTTATTAATTATAGAAAAATACGAGTTTATGCACAATAATTATTGTTTATTAATCAATGATTTATATGCGTGTTTCTACCGGAATGGTTGTCCCTCTTATGGATATATAATATGATAAGAGTTTTTTTTTCACTTTTTCTCTACTGGTAGTCAACACTCACTTCTATGACATAACTTATAATTAATCTCTTATTGATATTTTCAAAGTTTCGTTTGTTGTGCCTTTAATTACAGTTAATTTTAAAAGTAAAGAAGTTTTGGTAAAATGTTTTTTACACACATTTTTAAAGTCATTAATTATTAATTTAATTTATATACAAATTTTAAAAGAGGTTTTTTATATAAAGTTCTTAATTTTATACGCAATTATTATTATGAAAAAGTTTATATTACTATTTTGTGCAATGGTTTAAGTAATTGAAACAAAATAAAATTTATACACTACTCAAATT